AATTCGATGGGACAAAGAATTCTCCATCGAATCATTACCAAATACGCGACGACTTATCTCTTTATAAGGATTTTATAAGGATTATTGTAACATGATTTGTTCGGCACACAGTCTGGCGTCAGACGTGTGTGAAAATATATAACGTCACTTCTCAAAATTGTTCACTACAAAAATCGATCACAGTAGTTGTGCATCGATTGCACACGTGCTGTCTTGAAGCACGCTAGTCAGATGATCCTCACACCTTATGATACAAATTATATTTCACACACACACACACACACACACACATACAGAGTCCACGGTGTGCCAAACAAATCACGATACAAAAATCTTTAGAGCAAGGGAAAAGGTCCTTGATCTTCCAGTGGGCATAATATTGCTACATTGCCTAAGCCAAAGCAGATGAATCTACCTGGAGAATTAACAGCCGGAGCATTCGGCCAGCCAAAGCCTGAATCACAAGACAGGAGGAAAGAGGCGGTGTTTGAAAATCCAACTCCGAAAGACGCTTGGCCGTGCGGTCGGATGTTGCGAGGCTTTTATAAACACTAATATGGATAGATGAACATCGGGGAGAAAACGTTTCCATCGATGTTTCATTGCGGATTTTATCTGTTTGGGCACTGGGAATGTTTGGAGACACAACCATCTCGATAAAACAGGAGTAGTAGCAACATTCATTCGTAGCTCATGGTTGGTGTGTTTTGAATATTACATTACGGGAGAAACGAGGGGTGCGAAGGAACGTGGAGGAGACCAGAGTTCTACTGTGTGAACTGCTTGGCACGGATCGACGAGTTAGATGAGGTTACACAAAGACTTCTTGTTGTGCAATTCGGGGTGCGACGCGGACAATTAAAGGATCATCTACAAACTAGCGACTCGCCAGTGAAAACCATCTGGATGGTTTTGGGGTCGTTTTACTCCTTACAGTAAGTGGTGCATCGATGTCTATTTCGAGTAAATAGTTGAATGCATTTAATTGTGGTAGAAGTATGTGTGAGAACCGACAAACAGCACTGGGCAGTTGTTCCGTTCTGTATCAACTAGTGGGAAATTAACAATCTCCCAAGGAGTGAAACGATCAACCAAAACTATCAAAAGTGCCTGCTGCCTTTGAACAATCAAATGGGCTAATCCAAACACGATACTCTCTCTCTAAATTGATCGATTCACTCGCAAAAGGTGATAACCATCAATCGTGTAGCTCAGACACGATGGTTTGAAGTCCCAACCCGAAGGATCGCGGTTCGAGTCTTGACAAGGGCACAAAAAGTACACATGGCTGGCGAGTCTCAAACGGCATAAAACAGCTATCCAGTGTTCTTTGTCGGTCATCACAAATGTTTCCATTGCAACTAGATGCAATGTGATAAAAATGAACGTACGATCAAAACAACAATAAACCTAACTAATTACACATTACGTTATGCAGAGGTGTAGGTCACCAACAAAACACGTTTCGAGGTAGTGCATAGTCTGCATCTAGAAGCAATCACCAGTGCTTATCTGTGAAGTACGTTGATATTCGAATTCAGTGATTCAGCAGCTTGCACAATTTCAAACCTTTGATATATATATATATATATATAGCGTTAAGTTCGCCACTGTCATTGGATGTCACAAAATAGTGACCAAATCTCAGAAACAATTCCTACCGCGATTTCATAAAAGGCACCTTTCTGAGTGAGAATTCGATCACATGGGGAAAAAAAATCACTCAGACCGTTTCATGCAAACCTGAATACGTAATTCAATCCTTGTCGAGACCTACAACTTTGCTAACACAACCGCATATACCCGACAAGTCCCGATAGCTACCAAACTAGCGACCTGCGGTACTTCAAGGTAGTCTTTATCGTCTTTGGAGAGTCCTAGTGCTGACCGTGATCCTTTTTCCTCCCAGACTGATTCCGCAATTGTTCGGGTGATCTGGGTCACCGTTTAACAACACATGCAACTTACATAAGACAGAAAAGCGATGTGCCAGTACGTTCTTGTCCGGAAAAATTGTTTTCTTTTTCGGAATTGTGCTTCATAGCGAGAAGATATGTTCGATCGGGACCTCTAGATGAGCCTGACCACTGGTAATGCCGTTTAGAAATATTAGCTTGCTCCAATCTCTCCAGATTTACTGTATTTTTTTATTACACACCTTATTGTGCAAAATAGCAGACAGGGGGTAATCCCCATAGACCGGAGGACCTGCTATTGAGTCATGGAAATTGGTAACCTAAGCCCCAGAACTTGGAGTGGCAAACCATATAAGGTCCCCCCCCCTAGGCATTGCTATCACCATAATACTTGTACTTGTTTCGGAGATATGTTCTCAAACACACGTTAAACTTTCAATGACAGAAATGCGTCACCCTGGTATAAACTCATATTTTTTGGATCGAAAATACACAATGCGGAAGGGGGCTGGGATAGTATGGCATAGATTATCTATCACAGCTGCCAAACAGGATCGATGGGGTTTGAAAGACTTAGCATCACATTCANGACAATTACCCGCAATTTTGAACCGAATGATCTCCTTCATCGTATCGTATCGTATCGTAAGACCCTCCAGTTGCACACCAGACAACCGTCACTTTTGTGAACATCAAATAAACCCAGAAGAACACAAAAAGATGTGGCCTGTCAAATTATGGAGTACACTTCATAACAAATCTCATACTTTCCAGTCATGTAACCTTAAAAAACACCAGGGTTCGGATAGACCGAAATGACGAGACCAGTAACCTATTTAGAGATAAGGGGTTGGGGATTTGGCAACCAATGCATGTGACCTGTCAACTAGTTTGTCCGATATTTGTGCACACGACAGTACACCGACCACTCACCTCAACCATTCGACCAATGTTGGCAATATGCGAGGTGGTGATTGGCACACCAGCTTCACCCAATGGTCCGTCACGTTCGATGAATCGTGTTAGGCTACCGCCCAGGTTAAAATAGCCAGCTTGATCACGTTGTGTTTGAAGCCACAGCATGACCGTACTGGTCAGTTTGTACTGGGCTATTTTGGCCGAAGATCGTTCCTATGGTGAGTAAGAAATGATCGGATATGTGGCACCAGATAAAGTAAAGAGAAGACATAAATGACAACAGGCAAAACGGAATGAAAAATCGCAGGGGATAGGATAAGATGAATCCAATAAGTGAGATCTAGCAAAAGGAAGTTTTCAACGTCAAAGGAAACAATATTAAATCGATTATGATGGTATTGGGAACATCGTACAACGGACCCGCGTCACCATCCTCATCGTATAGCGAAATACAGTGGAGCGAACTTCACTGATCGCGGCCGAGCTCACAATATACACAAAGCAAGTAAGAATGTGTGAGGTGAATGGGAAATGAATCTGTTTTGATGGAAGGGAAAGCGAGGTGAACCGCTATGGTTAACACATTCAAAGTACACAGACCGACTGTGCATGCATACCTCTTCCCATATTTCGAATAGATACAAAATGACAACAAGAACGTCACTGCTGCCGGTTCGTAGCCATGTCTTTTAGTGTCTCCAATCAATCGTTTTGACCTCATCCGGGAAGGCACGAGACATCTACTCTAACTAATCGCTCTGTGTACTTCTTCATGCCTCAATGACACGTCATTTGTTGACTCCCACGTGGTATTTTGCAGACCAAAGCGACAGCTGCAAATAAGGCGCCGTGTGGCAGACGACCGTTGGACATGAGCAATATGCGTCCTAACCAACGAAGACTATAGTAAGCTGAATTCGATGAGATAGCGAATGGAGCCCCATAAATTTGCAAACACACGACCATTTACCTCTAAGTTACTAACCCGCTCAATCCACTCCACCACCTACACCAAACGGTGTGAGCGCTGATTGCTGAAAACCTTCAGTCAATGGATGTCTTCTGTCGGAAAATTCAAGGTCTAAGATGAAATCGAATAGGGATGGCGAAATAGGGCACCTTTGATGAACACCACTGCTGGTGAAAAATGAGCTACTCAGTTCGCTAAGGACCCTCACTTAACCAGAAGTGTCTTGATAAGATAACATTCCTTGATGTATAGGGAAACCAAAGAGGTCAACCTCAAGGTCAACTGAGTTCATTTCCGATTATAGAACACTGACATCACTGGTCACCAATGTTGCGTAATTGGACACCACAGAAAAATCTGACCCATGGCAATTCTGTCAGAATCCTGTCTGTTGCACAAAAGTGCATTCAGTTGGTTGATGATTGTAAAGACTGAAATCATTGCTGACAGACATTGGTTTCTTCTAAACTGTCATATGTCTAAGTATGACAGACAATATGGAATTCTTGCATGCATTGGTGTTTCACGGACAACTATTGTGCTCAGTCCGACCACTAAGCCGGAGAACGATTAGGGTTCCCAAACCCAGGCTTCAGTCCTGACCAGAACCTAACAACTAGACAGTGGGCAAGGCGAACTAAAGGTCCATCTACTTGGATCGATTTTTCCTCCACTAATTTGACCCCACCCCCACCCCCGAGAGGGAAGGACAACCTCAACCCTTTGACCTTTCAGGCATGTTATGAAGCCTTCGTGTGAAGCCCGTTTTGTGCACAAGTTATCACTCTCATTCAAACATACACACACATCACGTCAAAACGCGGTCTGTTCGCAACGATGCTACACAACGAGTTACCGTTAGGAAAATGGGCAGAAAATACTCAGTCGACTATACTTTAATTCCTCTCGCCTAAAGAGCCCTGAGTGATCGTCTAAGACTGATCAGTCCTGCTACGACTACGAACTGAATTCAAGCAATCGAATAGGACCAAATTGCCGTTTACACGCACCACACCAAATCAATGGGATGGAAACTGTTCTGGAAATCAAATAACCTGCCTGAAAGAAAAAGAAAACTAGGAAATACGAAAGAAATCCCCTTCTGTGTGGGAAAACCATTTTAGGTGTACAAATAAATACATTAAAGAGGAAAAAATAATCTCCCGATTCTAATACGTTTGTTTCTATGATCTACAGTTGACCAAAAGACATTTGGATACTTTATAAACCGACTTCTTACATGTAAGATTTTTCCTACCAGCTATAAAAGTTGTTCTCAATGGAAGCAAATGAATGGAACTACGCGAATTGTGATCAGCGACTTCAGAACGTTCCGTTTTTAGAGTGCTTCCCTCACCCACCCATCCCACCCCGCTGTGCCCCTCTAAAACAATCTTTCGCCCACTACGAATTAGATTAGAAACGGTCAAACATCTACAATGTTTCTAGACGGTAGGAGAAAAGAAAAAACGTGTGCTAACCCAGAGTCGAAGTGACGATAGACCAAATAATATCCTTGGAACAAGCAGGTCTGAAAAAATCCAGTGTACAAGTACAAACTGCAATATTTCAAGCCCACTCATCCCCTCCCGCCCCGGTCTTCCTCTCTGCTCCCCGGATGTGCACCATCGATCTGGTGGATGGTGGTCTAAAATCTGTCGACAATTGATATCCTTTAACCAGTCTGGAGAAACAGACCTCGAAACATAGAACACCACTCGAATGAGACTCTGTTGCAGGACAACATTTCCGCTATTGACAAAACCTCAACAAGCGTGACAAGGGAAAGGTTCCGCATTTTTATTATCTGTTCGTCGGATTCATCAATTGCGGGAAAAAAGTCGTTCACAGTCCGTCTAAGTCCATCCGGTTGATGAGCTCACTGGTAACTATCAAACCAACTGAAAGCACATAAAAAAGCGTTTGAAACTGAAAGGGATGACGGAACTTTCAGTACCAAATGATTGTTGCCGTGTGAACGGGCACTGGCACGCGTGGAAAATGAGTTGTCTAACTAGGCTCAACATTGCATTAATAGAGACAATGATAGTCTGTGTTTGGTAGTTCTGTTCTAATGGATTACATTTGTGACCTGTGGCATTTCTACACCTTTTCCCATCAAGCTTTAGCTAACACCCGCTGTCGCTCAGCTTCAACCTGTAATTACTTTAGCCTAACCCACATTCCTTTAGCCAAAACCCGAAACGCTTTAGTCACGACCCGTAGTCTTTTAGCCTCAATCCACAAACTTTCGTCACATCACAGTAAGTCAGTCAGATCAGAAAATATTGGAATATATTCTGTAGTCAGGTAATGTTGAAAAATACCTAGGTTCTATAAATATTGATTTTTCAAAGCTCGGTTAAGACATGAGAGTGGGTGGCAGTTGCGTGCTGCAACACATATTGATTGGAGAAGCTCAAACCGATGTGCCCATATGGTAAAATCATTGGACTCATCTCGTACAGCTTCAGTGTTACCGTAAAACACGCGATACTCCTGTGAGTAGTACAAATATGAAATGTAACACAAACGGTGCATTGTATGGCATTCACAAGTCAACTTTGTTCATGAGAAGTGGATACATAAACATGTCGAGGATAATAAACTCCGTTCACAAAAGTACACCCTCACAACAACTATTAGTTTATTTAAAGCGGCAACCATCACGGTCGAGGCCCAAGAATTATCGGTTTTATTTATAGCATGCTGGGGAAACGGTATGCTGAAGGGAGTCTTTTGTGAAAAAGTGTTCATTATCCTCAAACTGTTGTTATATATCCGCATCTCAAGAGCGAAGTTCACATTAAATGGGTATACGGAACGATAAGCATTTACTTTTGTCATATCATTTTTTTTGATTTATTTCAAGGCTTATGAATACGAAACAATTTACCGTTAGTTGCACTTGAAATTTTTACTTCTAGGGGTATCTCGCATGTTATACGGAAACAGTGAAGATGTACGAGATGTGTCAAGTGGTTTGATGATACGGGCACACTGTTTGAACCTTGTCCAATCAGCATGTGGTGCAGCATGCGACCGACAAACCTTATCATACCTGAATCGAGCTTTGAAAAATCAATAATTATAGAACAAATATTTTTCAACATTCCTTGACCTCAGAATATATTCCAATACTTACAAATAATTGATTGTAATGCTCCCGAGGTCCTCATCTGGGAAGACTAACGCGACCTATATGACAGTCTCCCGGTTAGGGTTTTCATACCAGGCCTTAGCTTGACCACCTTTGGTTTTTTCCACCTACTACCTGTCTCGGCAAACATCGCCCACCGTGGTAAACTATTTGATGACATGTCCCAATCAAAGTAATCTATGGAAGACGACCATTTGCCCCAGTGACCGGCCGCGATTACCTAAAACTCTGCATTTAACCTCAGCATAGCTAGTCCGGTTGCCTCACCAGATTCGTGCAGTGCTGTGTAGACAGTGATGTTCGAACACCGACAGTCAATATTTTTCCTGTTTTCTTATTGGTCAACTTTCTGCG